GTAGTAGTTTTAGTAGAAATGGGGTTTCCCCATGTTGGTTAGGCTGGTCTCAAACTCCTGACCTCAGGTGATCCGTCCACCTCGGCCTCCCAAAGTGCTGGGATTACAGGCGTGAGCCACCGTGCCTGGGCAATTGTATCTTTAAAATATCAAAATATGCCCAGGCGAGGTGGCTCACACCTGCAATCCCAGCACCTTGGGAGGCCGAGGTGGGCAGATCACAAGGTCAGGAGTTTGAGACCAGCCTGGCCAACATGGTGAAACCCCATCTCTACCAAAAATACAAAAATTAGGCAGGCGTAGTGGTGCACACGTGTAGTCCCAGGTACTCAGGAGGCTGAGGCAGGAGAATCACTTGAACCCGGCAGGGGCAGAGTTTGCAGTGAGCCAAGATCATGCCATTACACTCTAGCCTGGGCAACTGAGTGAGACCCCGTCTCAAAACAAACAAACAAAACAACAACAACAAAAGAAACACGAAATATCTGCATTTACTAAATATCACATAAATAAACCTTGGAAGTTTACTTTACTTTAAATGATGTTTAAGTCTACATCATTTTGTTTAACAGTAACACGGGATAGGACAAGAAGCCATGATTATCACATGAAGATTGTATTTCAAAAGCAAAACTCAGAAAGTAGGATGTAACAGAATGCAATTACATTTCACTGCATTCAGTCTTAAGTTCTTCTACTAAAGAAATCATCCATCAAACAAAAAAAAGCACCTGCATTCTCCCAAAGACAGAACAGAATGACTGTAGAACTATGAAACAGTGGGATTTGAAAGGCGAAATGAAAAATTAATGACACTCCTACAAAAACGAATTTATACCTCTACTCCTGATCCAACAAGGGCAGAGCACATTATTAACAGTCACATGGACAGGAGTCCACTCTTTCCGCAATGTTAAGAAACTACTCTATTACTGATACACTAGTATGTAGTAAAGCAGGCTTCCTATCAATTATTTGTGAAAGAACCATTACTCTAAAAACAAGTCTGTTGAAAGGAAAAAAAAAAAAGGCAGGGGGTGGGGGGGGGGGTGGTTTAACACTTAAGAATATAAAATAGAGGCCAGGCGCGGTGGTCCACACCTGTAATCCCAGCACTTTGGGAGGCCGTGGTGGGTGGATCACCTGAAGTCAGGAGTTCGAGACCAGCCTGACCAACATGGTGAAACTCCATCTCTATCAAAAATACAAAAATTAGCCAGGCGTGGTGGTGGGTGCCAGTAGTCCCAGCTACTCGGGAGGCAGAGGTTGCAGTGAGCCAAGATCGCACCACTGCACTCCAGACTGGGTGACAGAGCAAGACTCCATCAAAAAAAAAAAAAAAAAAAAGAAGAAGAAGAATATAAAATAGGTTTATCAAACAGTTTTTTAAAGTTTTTTCCCCCAAAATTTGTGCTATCAGACTCCCCCCCACCCCCAATTTTACAAGTGTCTCCTTTTCCCCCCAATTAAAATCATAAATCAACTTATTCTAAGTTTTTAACTTCTACTAGCCCTTCCCAATCTTAGCTCCTTTACCACTTTCCAGGGAACAATTCTTAAGATACCAAATAAGCCAATGTAGAGGTCTGTTTACTTAAAATGTGTATCACAAAAAGCAAAAATGACCTCTGGATTTTATCCTGCTGGCACCAATCCAATCAATAAAAACTACTTTCATTAAGGGCATGGGGGCACAAAACGGTATTCAAGTTTAATATTTCCATTATCTATCAATATTATTAAAGTTTTTGCTTGCAAGTGTGATGGTTTTCTTAATAGTTGTGGTAAGACTTCTAGGATTCCTTTTTTTTGGAGAGGTGGGGAGACAAGAGTCTGGCTCTGTTGGTTGGTCCAAGCTGGAGTGCAGTGGCGCGATCTTGGCTCACTGCAACCTCCGCTTCCCGCGTTCGAGCGATTCTCCTGCCTCAGCCTCCCAAGTAGCTGGAACTACAGGTGTGAACCACTATACCCGGCTAATTTTTTAATTTTTTAGTAGAGACAGAGTTTCGCCATGTTGGCCGGGCTGGTCTCAAACTCCTGACCTCAAGCGACCCACCCACCGTGGCCTGCCCAAAGTGCTGGGATTACAGGCATGAGCCACCATGCCTGGCCTAGAATTACATTTTAAATATTGATAATTTTTATTCACCCGTTTATCTTATTGCATTGCTCTCAAATCAACTACTTAGAGCAACCCTAAATAAAACACTACGATGTGACTATCTAAATACAATTAATGTATGACTTGAAAACAAACAGGGTCTATATGAGAGTGAAACAGGAATAAACTATCATTTTGAAAAAAAAGATTCAACTGCTAAGTGTCCTATCAATTTTAAGAGTCCTATCAATTCTATTTAAATATTTCTGTATCCTTTCTTTTGCACATTGTCTAGAAAATTTCACATTTTTCACATTCGACACCATTATTATTGTCTCAGGCAGCTAAATTGAAGTAGTTCAGCACTCACTTCAACTGAGAGGTCAACGTGCCTCAGTTGCCTGGAGACTGATGGTTGCTACAGCAGCACCAGATAAGCCAGGCTAAATAAGCTTCAGCTTGAAGACAGAAAGCATTTACTGCTGAACAGAAACACAGATGCAGGTATCTCAGTACACAGCATGTAAATCTAACTGGATGATCACATTTGTAAGAGACCCATCTTTCTGAAAACTGGAGAGGGGATTTTAATTGAACTGAATCCTGGGTTACTTACAACTATGATTTCTTTGTTCTTCAGATGAGTCACATGTTAAGTGGAATTTTGCCTCTAGCTATAAATTTCTCTTCACTACCACTTCCCTAATGCCAACCCCCTGGCTCACAAACATAATGAATGAGAAGAAATGAGGATTTTTGCTTAATTCAGCTGGGAATTAACCAGAGAATAATTAAACAGACTTTTATAAAGACAGAAAAGAAAAAAGCACATTGAAAATGTTCATGTGAGACTTTGTCCAAGGATATCAAACTATCAACAGCATATGGTTACACTTAATTAAAAGAGATAAAACCATTTATAAGAGCCATTCCTTCATTTATCCTTTCACCTTCTCTAACCCCAAACCCCTGTTATGGCTACCTCACTTTTAGTGAAATGAACCACAGAAAAACTCTGCTAAAGTAGTCAAACTCCTTTAACTCAATTTGGGAGGTTCACCAAATAGTTCACTTTCAACTTCAAAGATGATACTACTAAAATCATGCCATTGATTTTCTGTGCTGAACTGTCTGGGGTTGATTCTAATACGTAATTTTAATAGCAACTGCTTGCACTGTGCCATTCACACAAATGCATCAAAATAACCTAATGCTGTGCTTGCTGGAAAAGCATATGTATCCTAACGACACACGCAATGGAAATTATGCACACATCCATAAAGCTTAAGTTGACAGGAACTTATAAACAACTATTTTAACTAGGTGTTCATTATTAGACATTTGTCCCTGTGATCATTTTCTTGACCATTAAAAGACTACTAGAGCTTTGGAGAAATGAAAATAAAATTATACATAATTCCAAATAAATAAAAATATATATTTTGGAAATCTTAAATGATTATCTCTGGGGAAGGGGGGGTGTAATGCAGGTGGGTTGGGTACAGCTTTCCCCCTGCACTGTCCTGTTTATAAAACAGGATTACAATTTCTTTTATTTGACTCTTGGCCAGGCGTGGTGGCTCACACCTGTAATCCTAACACTTTGGGAGGCCGAGGCAGGCAGATTACCTGAGGTCAGGGGTTGAAGACCAACCTGGCCAACATGGCGAAACCTCACCTCTACTAAAAATACAAAAATCACCTAGGCAAGGTGGCATGCGACTGTAATCTCAGCTGGTCAGGAGGCTGGGGCAGGAGAAGCACTTGAAACCAGGAGGCGGAGGTGCAGTGAGCCAAGGTCACGCCACTGCACTCCAGCCTGGGTGACAAGAGTGAGACTCCGTCCCCAAAAACATCCTATAGACTAGGCCACCTATCAAACTACAAATCTAAAGTCAGATAAAAGGGGTACACAAATGGAAAAACCTGTATATTCATCATTATTTACAATATTTACAAACACTGTTCTCTCCCACTAGGAGGAAAAATGTCTAGTGCTTGAAGCGATCATTCCGTCTTTTAACCTATATTCTCCTACACTGGTTTTTTTTAAAACTTTAAAAAGATTTCATATATTATTTGTGTAATTTTAAAAATTATAAAAGGAATTTTAAAAATCACAAGAGTCCAAAACTGGCTCATATTTTGTGGATCCTACTTTTTTAAAGAAAAAATAAAAGCTCCTCTGAAATTATATTTTATATCATTCGGACAAAATTTAAAACCCAGAAATTAAGAAGAATTAGTTGGTGCCCATACATTCATCCATCCTCTCTCATGAATACCATGTAAAAATACCTATCATTTTCACTAACACATTACTACAAATTGAGATATTTCATAAATTCCTGTAGAAGGCCCTATTTCATTTGTTTGTCCTCTAATGAAACTCACTTTAAAAATGAGAAACCCACCTACTACCTCTCACATCATAGTGTAACAACTTACCTGAGTTGTAGCAACAGCAGGGGCTGCAGATGACACCGCTGAGGGAGAGAGTGCTCCTACTTGTTGCAAATGCCCAGAAGACTGCTGAGGTAAGTGAGAGCTGGAGACAGGAGTACTAGATCCCGAGCCAGATACTACATTTGGAAATGATACTGCTACATCATTGCTGTTATAAATACCTGCAAAAAAAACCAAATTTTATTTAAATATAACTTAGCAGTCAAATTTGTTACAGACACACATAATCAGTAAACTTGCATTTCCTCCTGGATCCCTCCTCCAATTATAAATTTTATTGTTGGTATTTAAAAAATATTATGCTAGTACTAAACAAATAAACACTGACTTTTCATGAAGCGGTTCTCTAAAAGAACCTACACCATTTTTATTTAGCAAAAAGGCTTTTGTTAAAAGCAGGGGATAGCAGGAAGAGCTTTGTAAAAAATATATAATGGATTTTAGGAGTTTCTAAGAGCAAGAAAACATTTCTTAAGTAGAGGAATGAAGCAATTAGAGTTCCATAAAAATCACCTAATGGGCCTTCCAAAAGGCAAATACTAAGGCCCCAGAAATCATGACTGAGAAAGTCTGAAGTAGGAAGAGACCTTGTTCTAGAAAGGTGACAGGGTAGAAATTAAAATGGAATAGGCCCAACTTGAAATTCAGAAACCAACAGAGGAGCTGATGACATTGGTGGGAGACAGGCGTGGGAATAAAGAATGTTGGTAGATTCTAGAGACATTCCAGAGATAACACAGACAGGACTTTGTGACTGACTGTATGGGGCAGCTGCAGGGATAGGAAAGGAGGAAGGATTAAGACATGATGAACTGGGCTATGAGTTGGCAGCTCCATTTACTCCAGAGAACATAAGAGGTGAAAATCATGGGAGACTTGATGAAATCACTTTGAGAGGAACCATGGGGATAAAAGCCAGAAATAAGGTGGGAAATGGAAGCTACTCATTCTAGAAAAGAGGACTGGGGGGGGCCGGGGGAGGGGAGGATGAGCATAAGTTAATAGGAAACAAGTTAATTTTTTTGGAAGTGCTGATTTTTAAAAAAACAGAAAATCATGCTCAGCATAGACAAGGAGAGGCTTTCAGGATAAAGAAATGGGAATATCTATAAACCAGCTGTTTTCAACAAGGGGTGATTTTGTAGGACATTTCACAATACCTGGAGACATTTTTAGTTATCAAGCCTGGAGAGTGCTACTGGCATCCAATGGGTATAGACCAGGGATGCTACTAGACATTTTACAATGCACAGAACAACCTCTATAAGAAATAACTGGCCCATAGTGTTAATAGTGTGGCGGCCAAGAAAACTTGCTATAAACCAGAGCTCCTGGGAGGCCAAGAGGGAAGAAGAGCCTGAGACTCAGGTACAGAAACAGAAGGAAAGAATGAACCTAAGTGGGCTGTAGAAAAAAATATATAAATAAATAAAAATTACCAATTGTAGCCCTAGAGGGCAACAATAATCAGTAATTTATATCAACAACACAATTTACTTTGTTCTAAAGAACATCAACATAGCCCGGACAACAAAGGGAGATATTGTCTCTACAAAAAATAAAAATTAACCAGGCATGGTGGCACACGCCTGTAGTCCCAGCTGCCATGGGGACTGAGGTGTGAGGATCACCTGAGCCTGGAAGTTCGAGGCTGTAGTAAGCCATGCTGTGATTGCACCACTGCACTCCAGACTTGGCAATAGAGCAAGACTCTGTCATAAATAAATAAATAAATAAATAAATAACGTTACTGACATATAATAAATTAAAGCACCTACAATCTTATTCAAACTGGGAAAACAAAACAATTGGGATATTTTAAAAGGCCTTAGAGCTATAATTAAGGCTTCGAGATCTTTTTTATATCTACAGTTTCTTCAGAAAAAATATATTCATTTAGCCAATGCATTCATACTCCAAACATCATTGAACTCATTATTTGCCAGGCATTATTCTAAGCCCTGGAGATAAAAAGGCATTCAAGATAGGTAGTCTTTGCCTTCAAGAAGTTGCGTAGAAAAAAAAGGCATTACAAACAGTTGTGAAGAACACTACAACAGAGACCTCCTCAGGGGGCTAGGAGCACAGAAAAAGAGGTATCTAATTCAGACCTGGAGTGAGAAAAGTGGTGAGCCAAAAAACGTACTGAAAGAGATGTTGTTGCTTTTCAGGCTAATTTCTTTTCTATCTTTTGTTTGTTTTCTGAGTCTTTTGTTTGTTTTCTGAGACAGTCTTACTCTGTCATCTATACTGGAGTGCAGTGGTGCAATCATAGCTCACTGCAGCCTTGACCTCCTGAGCCAAGCGAACCTCCTGCCTCAGCCTCCCAAGTAGCTGGGACCACAGGCGAACACCACTACACCTGGCTTTTTTTTTTTTTTTTTTTTTTTTTTTTTTGCGGGGGTAGTCAGGGCAGTAAGAGATGAGGTCTCACTATGCTGACAAGCTGATTTCAAACTCCTGAGCTCAAGTGGTCCTCCCACTTGAACCTCCCAAAGTGCTGACATTACACGCATGAGCCACCATGCCCAGCCTCAAGCTAGTTTCTTTTTTGAGGTGAAGTCTCACTCTATTGCCCAGGCTGGTGTGCAGTGGTGCAATCTCGGCTCACTGTAACCTCCACCCGCAGGTTCAAGTGATTCTCCTGCCTCAGCCTCCCTAGTAGCTGGGATTACATGCACATGCCATCACCCTCAGCTAATTTTTGTATTTTTACTAGAGATGGGGTTTCACCATGTTGGCCAGGCTGGTCTCAAACTCCTGACCTCAGGTGATCTGCCCGTCTTGGCCTCCCAAAGTGCTGAGATTACAGGTTTGAGCCACCACACCTGGCCTCTCAAGCTAATTTCTAAAGGCACTGCAGAACACAGGTGAAGGACGGTTTGGGGAAGAAACATGCAGTAGAGAGCAGGATAAATTCTAAGGACTTGGTGACTACTTAGACCTGAAAATTCTCTTAGACTAATAGAACTTGGTGACTAATTAGACCTGAAAAATAAAAATATGGGTAGAGTCACCAATGACTCTTAAGCAGCAGTAAGTGCATGTAGTGATACCATTCACTGAAACAGGAACAGCAACTGAAAGCAGTGTTTGGTTACTGTACGCAAGTAACTGTGCTAGCATAAGAACTCAATGAAGTAAATATTACTCCCATTTCACATATGAGCAAACAGAAGTTTAAAGAAATAAAGTAACTTGCTTGGTGAGCTAGTAGGTGGTGAAATATTGATTCAAACTCACAGGTGTCCTATAAATGAAATCACTTCCTAATACAAATTAGAAGTTCAGGGTCACGGTCTTTGAGATGCCTGTGGGTGACAGAACTCCTATATATAGCACACAATGGGATAAGCCTAAAACCCAGCAGAAAACTCAGATCTGAAGACAAATAAAATCTAGGAGTGAGAAGCATGGTAAGTTACAGTAAGTAAACTTGCAAACTAAAAATACTTACTATTGGTCTGCACTATGGTTGAAATTTTAACCAGTTGCTCATAATTATTATACAAATAAGAAATTTCCCATTAAGAATTCTAGATGTCTAATATCTCTTGAAAAACTGAAGATTTGCCAACACTGGATACTATATTATAAAAGAGCAGCAATATGACCAGAGCTCTGAACAGGGCATGGAGACTTTAATCCAGCATCTCCATCATCCCTGACCATGTCACTCATTTATGTTACCTACGTGGCCCCGTAAGTATTTTATTTACAACTCTTGATATGAACACAATGGTCAAGGCCAAGGAACAAAAATGGGATCACCCAGGGAAAGTTTTCAGCATGATCAAGAGAAGAGAACCAAAGACAGAACCCTAAATAACATTACCATTTAATGGGTAAACAAAATTAGATCACAAAGGGCAAACTTAGAAAACTAAGATAGAGAATCTTATAAACTGCTCTAAGAATTTCAAAGGAATGGCTGGGTGCAGTGGCTCAGGCTTGTAATCCCAGCACTTTGGGAGGCCAAGGTGGGCAGATCCCTTTAAGCCCAGCACCAGCCTGGACAACATGGTGAAATCCTACCTCTACCAAAAATACAAAATTAGCTGGGTGTGGTGTCAAGCGTGGTGGTGTGTGCCTGTAGTCCCAGCTACTTGGGAGGCTGAGGTGGGACAATTGCTTGAGCCTGGGAGGTTGAGATTAAGCCGAGATTGTTCCACTGTACTCCAGGCTCAGTGACAGAACAAGACCCTGTCTCCAAAAAAGAAAAAGAAAAAGAAAAAGAGAGGAAAGGAAAGGAAAGGGGAAAGGGGAAACAAAGGAGAAAGGAAAGGAAAGGGAAAGGGAAAAGGAAAAGGAGAAAGGAAGAAAAAGAAACAAGTTTGGCTGAGAAGGACAGGAAAGAGCATGTTAATGAAGTGATTATTTATAAACCTTATATTCCAAATAACACATAGCAGAGAAAAAGATATGCATTTTTAAAGGTTGCTACACCATAGATAATTCAACAAATACTGAGTTTCTATTGAATTCAGTGTTTTCAAAGTATCTTAGAAGATAAAATACTGCAGTCAGATGCGGTGGCTCACACCTGTAATCCCAGCACTTTGGGAGGCTGAGGCAGATGTATCACCTGAGGTCAGGAGTTTGAGACCAGCCTGGCCAACATGGCGAAACACATCTCAACTAAAAACACAAAACTTGGCCGGGCGCGGTGGCTCAAGCCTGTAATCCCAGCACTTTGGGAGGCCGAGATGGGCAGATCACGAGGTCAGGAGATCGAGACCATTCTGGCTAACATGGTGAAAACCCGTCTCTACTAAAAAATACAAAAAACTAGCCAGGCGTGGTGGCGGGCGCCTGTAGTCCCAGCTACTCAAGAGGCTGAGGCAGGAGAATTGCTTGAACCCAGGAGATGGAGGTTGCAGTGAGCCGAGATCCGGCCACTGCACTCCAGCCTGGGTGACAGAGCGAGACTCCGTCTCAAAAAAAAAAAAAATACAAAACTTAGCCAGGTGCATGCCTGTAGTCCCAGTTACTTGAGAGGCTGAGGCAGGAGAATCACTTGAGAGGCGGAGGTTGCAATAAGCCAAGATCACACCACTGCACTCCAGCCTGTGCAACAGAGCAAGACTCCATCTCAAAAAAAAGGAAAAAAAAAAGATAAAATGCTGATTATCTAGTTAATTTGGAAGTGAAAAGTGTACTA